ACCGCAGAACCAGCGGTGGCGACGGAGCAGTTGAGGAGGCTGACCACGCCGGCGAAGAAGTCCAGTCAGCGGCCTGGAAGGTGGCTGCTGACACCGAACCAGATGTGGGCAAGGTCGAGCAGGCTGAGCCAGATGTGGACGAGCTGGTGGCATGGCAACTGCAGGACAAGACGCTGCAGGCGACAGTGTGGAAGTCACAGGAGGTGACACTGCAGGCGGTGGCTAAACGGACTCCCCAGAGCTGTCAGTGGTCACGAGGATGTGCTGGCTGGGTCCTCCAGGACCCCCAGCTAACGAGGCATGATGCTCCGACCGTGGCTCAGGGGTTTGGGAAGTGTATCCTGTAACCGGAAGGTCGCCGGTTCGATCCCCGGGCTCTCTGTCCTGGTCGTTGTGTCCTTGGGCAAGACACTTTACCCTACTGGTGTTGGCCAGAGGGGCCGATGGAGCGATATGGCAGCCTTGCTTCTGTCAGTCTGCCCCAGGGCAGCTGTGGCTACAACTGTAGCTTGCCTCCACCAGTGTGTGAATGTGAGAGTGAATGAATAGTGGCATTGTAAAGCGCTTTGGGTGCCTTGAAAAGCGCTATATAAATCCAATCCATTATTATTATCTCATGGAGTCATCAGTCTCATATCAGAGCAACTGTCAGCAGGAAGGGCTTCTGATATGAAACTGCCAAAATCACGCACGTGGAGCATCACACTGTGGTGGTGCCATGTTACAAGGGAGCAGCTGAAAGTAGTTAGTTCATAAATGGGAGAATTAGTGCCTTCTTCACTATTTTGTAGATGAAGAGTTCCTAAAATATTCAGATGAGCCCATCTGGCAATAACAACCACGCCAAATTCAAAGTCACTTCCCCTTTCTTACTTATTCTGAGCTAAACTATACTATTTCTTCATATTCAATATACCTTAAATGGACTGGTACTTATATAACACTTCTATACTCTGTTTTGAGTGCATCTCCTGAGCCACAAGCATTCAGGTTCATTTGTTGCTTAGTAGTGTAGCATTTCACTAATTATTGGAGGAGTTTCAGTTATTAGTCATGATTGAAGAAAGGCTTTACCCATATTCTACAGCCGTTTCTACTATCTGTGAAGACGGGATAAACTTTAAGTCACTGGATTCATCAATATGAATTTAATAAACACAGCTGTTGTAAAAAAGGAAGGAAATGCCATGCCTTGGAAAGCAAAGTCTTTTCTTTCCAAGCTCCTTAGACTATGATGACCTGGATGACTGAGAACCTTCACAGACTAATACTGGATCACATTTTTTTTTTGCTGTTTGGAATAGAAAAATTAACATAAACATGCACAGGTGAACACCAAAAATTTATATATTAAAAGGTTATTTCAGGTTAACATGCCAAAGGAGTTCTAAAGAAAGAAGGAAGTCGACTCAGACTGCTCCCTGTCCTGGAATCTTTGATAGTTTGGCAGCTTTTCTTAGAAACAGGTTTCAGTGTTGCTTTTGTGCTGGCTCCTCCCCTTCCACAGACTCAGCTCACAGAATGCTGTGAGTTGAGTTGAGCTGCTTTTGCCCAATATCTGGTGATTCACTGCTGTTGAGAGGAGAAATGGCACAGAGACTAAATCAGTTGGATTCAGAGAAATTCTCTTGTTCAATCTGTTTGGAGCTACTGCAAATTCCAGTGACTATTCCCTGTGGACACAGCTACTGCTTGAACTGCATTAAAATCCACTTTGATGATGAGGACAGGAAGCAAATCCACACCTGCCCTCAGTGCAGGAAGACTTTCACACCAAGGCCTATCCTGGAGAAAAGCATCTTGTTGGCAGAGCTGGTGGAAGACATGAAGAAAACTGGACCCCAGGCTATTCTGGCTGATCACTGCTATGCTGGACCTGAAGACGTGTCCTGTGATGTCTGTACTGGAATGAAGCTGAAAGCCAGCAAAACCTGTCTGGTCTGTTTAGTTTCTTACTGCAGGAAACACCTACAACCTCACCGTGATGTTGCCCAACTAAGTAAGCATACACTTGCTGGGCCATTCAAGAAGCTCCAAGAGAACATCTGTTTTCGCCATAATGAGGTGATGAAGATTTTTTGTCGTACTGATCAGCAGACTGTCTGCTATCTCTGCTTGCTGGATGAACATAAAGGCCATGAAACGGTCCCGGCTGAAACAGAAAGGACAGAGAAACAGAAAGAGCTCGAGGTGAGTCGACTAAAAATCCAGCAGAGTATCCAGAACAGAGAGAAAGATGTCAAGCTGCTTCAGCAACAGGTGGAGGCCATCATTAGCTCTGCTGATAAAACAGTGGTGGACAGTGAGAAGATGTTCACTGAACTGATTAGTCTCATTCAGAATAGAAGCTCTGATGTGAAGCAGCAGATCAGATCCAAGCAGGAAACTGAAGTGAATCGAGTCAAAGAGGTTCTGGAAAAACTGGAGAAAGAGATCGCTGAGCTAAAGAGGAAAGATGCAGAACTGGAGCAGCTCTCACACACTGAGGATCACAACCAGTTTCTACACACCTACCCCTCACTGTCAACACTCACTGACTCTACACCCTCATCCAGTATAAGCATCTGTCCTCAGAGGTACTTTGAGGATGTGACAGCAGCTCTTTCAGAGGCCAGAGATAAACTACAGGAATTTCTGAGAGAGAAATGGACAAATTCCTCACTAAAAGTCACTGAAAAGGATGCTCTGCTCTCACCACCAGAGCCAAAGACCAGGGCTGGATTCTTAAAATACTCCAGTGAAATCACACTGGATCCAAACACTGCATTTCCACATGTGTTATTATCTGAGGGCAATAGAAAAGCAACAAGGGTGAAACAAAAACAGTCTTATTTTCATCATCCAGATAGATTCAGTGGATGGGAGCAGGTCCTGAGTAGAGAGAGTCTGACTGGGCGTTGCTACTGGGAGGTGGAATGGAGAGGGGGAGGAGTCGGTGTAGCAGTTGCATATAAGAATATCAGAAGAATAGGGAAGTCATATGAATGTTTATTTGGTTTCAATGACAAATCATGGGCATTATGTTGTGACACAAACAGTTATGTATTTTGGCACAACAATGTACAAACTAAGCTCTCAGGTCCTCGGTCCTTCAGAGTAGGGGTCTACCTGGATCACAGTGCAGGCATTATGTCATTCTACAGCATCTCTGAAACCATGACCCTCCTCCACAGAGTCCAGACCACATTCACTCAGCCTCTCTCGGTTGGACTTTGGCTTTGGGTAGATGGAGTCACTGCAGAGTTGATTCAAATCAAATAGAAGGACAAGTTCATTTTGATCCCTGATCATTATGTATACCTCTAAATGAGGCTTTTTCTGAAGCATTCAGTGGGCGACAGATCTGAGAATAATTTTGCAGTGATTACAACTGTACTTATATTTATATAAATATAAATCAGAATTTGTTATTATAGCTAACATGAGTTAATGTGAGTTTAAATTATGCTACTTTTTATATTCAGCATACTTTAAATCATTAATCTGTCTAGTTTAGTCTGGTTAGTGGTTTTATTCTGTGTAACTCTGTGGCTGTCCTAGGCTAAGTGCAAAACATGCATTGGAGCTGTAAAGATTCATCTGTTAGTGAATGATTAGGCATTTTATTGTTTTATCATTTTACTCACAAAAGTAAAATAATGAGTACTCTAAAATGTAAAAAATAATTTTCCTTTTCATATATGATTGTAAACCTAATGTGGCTTCAACTTTTAAAATGTAACCAAAATTTGGATCCTGGAGTTGTTTGAGATTATAATGACAATTATATGGATATACTTTTCTTGCATTTATAGTTACAAATATGTGTGTATGTCTAAATTAATATAATTTTTCACGTAAAAATGTGATGTCACTTCATGATTTAACAATGAAAATGAAATAATACCAAATGATCTAAAAGCTACTTTCAGCTGCCCCTTTATTCACAAACAGTGATCACAGCAGGTAGCTCCCCATGTATGGAGAAGGTCAGGTATATGCTATGATTTCAAAATAAAAAATGATTACAATTAATACAAAGATAACAAGAACAGCAACATTCAAAAGAAAATGAGAGTGTTATATATCGAGGAAAATAAAAGAGGGATGAAATTGCATCATAAGTTTATAAAAAGAACAACTAAAGTACTGACTTTGAAATTGTGATTTACAAATACAAAACTGGTAGTATTTAAAAACATATCTTTTGTCATTTCTTCAGTACTTTGCCATTCATACCTCCCTGAAATGTAAAGTCAATTAAACTATTGACACGTCTTTATTAGACCTAACACAGCTTTTCAGTTGGCATTCTTTTTACATTTGACTACAGTTCAACTCCAGCTACAGTCATAAGTAAGCAAACATGAACGAAGACTATGTGCTGCCTTAAGACGTTCAAGGATCAATCAGTGTCGATTACCAGAATGAAAGTGTTTTATGGATAAAATTGTAACTCCTGTGGGAAAAACAGAATGACGTTCTGTATGTTTTCATTTTAATTTGGCCTTAAAATCGTTTTGTTTTTTTAAATAAACAAGATAGACTTTTTGTTTATAAGATGGTGTAAACACTGTAAATAGTTATTTTAAATGTTTAGCTCTATTCACTCCAATTCACTGAGGACCATCTTGAAAATGTCCTGAACTGAAGCCATTTTCAGAACTATAACAGGAAGGGAAAAGACTTCTTAGATTGGTTTTGGTGTTTCTGTGTGAAATCAGTAAAGACATGAACATAATCGCCATCTAGTGGCAGAGAAAGGGAATTAAAACACTTGGTGAATGAGCTGCCACAGCAGTGGTCCAATCTTCTACTGTGTTAGGAGTATTCAGATAATTGTGCACATAACCAAAATATGGTACAAATTTCAAGTACCAATTAAGAACAACAATATATAGCAATTTTCATTTCATAACAAATAAACATGTAAAAGGGGCTGATGATATAAAACAGCTCTGTATCAAAGGCAGTGTGGAGTAAGCAGACCTGCTTCTGTTCACTCTGAAGATGAAGCTACTTTAAGAAAAACCCAGAGCTTCTTTCTTCACGCTGCAACCCAGCAGGACATTTCCAGCATCCACACACTCTGACACACACGGTGATAAAAACACAAAACAGATATTAAAATAATGATTGTGGGAGGAAAGCTGTAGAATGAAACAGTTTTTTAAAGCTGTTATTTTATCTGTTACAATCATTGCTAGTACCATTGTGAGCACAGAGCCACGAGGCAGCCTTCATAGCCAGAAGCTCCCACTCGTCCTTTGCATCCATCTTGAAACCATGAAGCCAGATCAGAGCCAGAATGGTGGCCCACACTTCACTGCTGGTCTAATTCCCCAAATCAAAATCAATCAAATAAACCAGACAGAACACACATTTTACTTTCTACAACCAGTAATATTACATATGTTTGTGTACTTCTTTGTCACACGGGGTCACCAAGGTGGGCAGCTCTGCATATTTGATTTGGCAGATTATTACACTGGATGCTCTTCCTGATGAAATCCCAAACTGTGATGTCATAAATGCTCTAAAATAATGTGCTGACATGTTTTTACAACAACTGATGAGGAAAATAATTTCTGCTGCCGTGTGGTTTCTGGATAATATCAGACGCTGGTGCAGCTCAGTGGGAGGTTAGGAGTGTGATTACCACCAGTGTTTTTGCTTCTGATATGCAGATGTTTATTCTCAGGCTGTGAGGCAGGCCTACGTTTAGTTTGACTTCATTTTATTTGTTTTATGGTGTGTTTTTAATTACATCATGTGTTTTTGTTCAAATTATAGAATCAAATCTGTTTTATCTCACATCATCATTTTGTGTTAATATTTAAATTGACAGCAGTGCACCTTTTCAGGCTTTGACTTTTCCACCTCCTCGTTGGTCTGTCCCAGTGCAGCAGCCAGAGCTGGATCAAGCAGCCAGCAGCCAGACGCCTCCTGCAGGGAGACTAACTGCAGCAAAGGGTCTCTGGGTGGCTGCTCAGGCACAGCAGCTGGAAAATCTAAGATGCAATAAAAACAAAACCCGATTATGGTGCTAGATGACAAACAGAACTCTACATGATAACCCAGTGCATAAAACACCGCACTGTAAACTATGCAACAGATAAATATTGTTTTTCACTTGAAAATTACATCTTAAAAATGTAATCATTACATAAGAGCTCCACATCAAACATCAAATTTTTACAACTGTCTGAACTTACTAATAAAGATAAAAACTGTCAACACCACACCATCAGCTACCGTGGTCTTAATGAATACAATCTGAAAGTAATCAAACTGATGAGATGAAAGCTTGATACGATGTAAACTATGCATTTCACATACTGTACTGTGAAAATATATCAACAATATATTAAATTCAGGGGCTTAAAACAGTGTTTAAATCCTTGTTTTCATTTGATCTACTGGAATATAAGACTAATAGATTATTCTATAGGAGAAAACTAGAAAACTCATTATCTAAGCAACTGAACTAAACATTGTACAGTCACTTCCACTTAGCGTTAAATTCCCTTCATGTCTACCAATATAAGAAAAATAGAAATGAATAAGTACTTAGTATTTTATTGTAACCCAGCAAATTGTAAATGATGGTTTGACAAATATTAAGAAAGTCCCTGAGCCCCCACTCTCGTGTGAGCGCTCTGTGACTGCCCTTGCTGCAAGTAAAACTATGTGTTTCCACTCTCTGACTCTCTACTGAAGAAGTGTCTTTAGAATACATCTCTTGACAGACACATATTAAGAAAATAAAAATTTCCATCAGCTGACTTTAGACAAAAACTACATGTTAATTAAAATTAAATACATGATCTCAAGTTGTTACATTTCCTTCGTGCTTTTGCTGCCATCATTGTTCTTGGGTCTGCATCTGAAATTGTTAAACCATAAAAAAGTTTTTTGAGGTAATTACAGATAATTCCTTAAGATATAGTATCTAAATGCACAGATTTGTCAAAAATAGTCATATTAACTTACTCATGGCCATTGGAGCAAATATAGGTTTGGAGTCTAACTTATTAAAGAAAAATAAAACTGGCAACACCCCAGCATCAGTTAAAGTGGTTTTAATGAATACTATCTGAAGGCAATCAAGCTGATGAAATGAAAGCTTGATACGATGTAAAGTATGTGTTTCACATGTTTTACTGGGAAAATGTATGGCCAATAAATACATACATAAATACACATAATCAGATTAATTTAATATGATTTATTGGAATATAAGACTAAAAGATTATTCAACAGGAGAAAACTGGATCTCAATATCAAAGTAACTGAACTAAACATTCTCCAAAAAGTTGATTCTGTTCATCTGGACGTAGCGTTTTGTGGGAGAAACGTTTTGTCACTCATCCAAGTGACTCAGCTGAGACTGAAGAAGTCACTTGGATGAGTGACGAAACGTTTCTCCCACAAAACGCTACGTCCAGATGAACAGAATCAACTTTTTAAAGATTTACTTCCCTGGATGATTGAGAATGCATCAAGATGAAATGTTAGAGATTTTCTACATTATACATTATAACCAAATCTCTACACTCAATGTCACTTACCCATTATATTGTATATTGTATAGCTTTCTTGTTATATGTAAAATTGTATTTATTTAAATTTTTACTTTTTAATTATTTTACTTGCATTTTTAATCACTTTTATATTTAAATATATTTAAATGTTCATTTGCTATTTATCTAGGGATTGAAGAGTAACGCAATTTCTATTCTCCGTATGTCCTGTACATGTGGCAGAATCGACAAATAAAGTTGACTTTGACTTTGACTTTTTGACTTTGACTCTATAATACAATATAATCAAGTAGGCCTTATATTCTAACCAAGTATGCCTTATATTTTGTGTGTTCATATATTTTCACATAACCAAACCTATTGTTGAAGAATTACCTAATCAAGTCTATTGTTAAAGGAAAACTGATGCATTCCTTACCTAAGTGTCTGAGATGTTTGACAGCATGATATAATGATGCATTCTTTTCCTATAGTGTCTGTGATGTCAGATAAAGCATGATATACTTCTGTATTTTTATCCCAGTGTGTGAAAGATCAGATAAGTTGATTTAATGTTTAACCTCTTCCCTGACAGTTAAAAGAGGAAGTACTATGTAACCCATTTTTGCCTTATAAATAAAGCAAGTGAGCCTGTGCTCGGTGTGTGTGTCTTCTCAGAGAGACATTCACCCGTGCGCACGTTTTCTAATTACTCTCTGAGTCGGTCTGCAGTTGTCTCATTTCTTTTACTTGTGTTTGAACAAATGTCTAAACCCCTGACATTTAATTGGTCCTTCGAGCCGGATTCGAACCAGCGACCTAAGGATCAATCCCTACACTGCCACACCCATTCCATACTATCCACATGGATTTTATAGAACTAAATGAATCTCAATCCTCCAAGTATGCACTTGTGATAATAGATGTATTTTCCAAGTGGCCAGAAATATACCCAGTGAAAAAAGCAGATGCAATCTCAGTAGCAAAATGTTTGTGCAACCATTTCATTCCAACATATGGCATTCCGTCTCTGATAAGATCAGACAATGGCACACATTTTGTAAATGAAGTAATAAGTAAAGTTTCTGAAGCTTTAGGCTTCAGCATAAAACATCATTGTTCTTATCATCCACAAAGTGCAGGATTAGTCGAGAGAACTAACGGCACAATTAAACAAAGATTGAGGAAATGTATGGAAGAAACTAAAAAACCATGGCCTGAATGTCTAAGCTTAGTTAAGCTATGGATGAGAATAACTCAGGGAGCAGGTGGTCTAACACCATTTGAGGTTGTACATGGCAGACCCTTCCCTCTCCCCATAACTAGTGAGCCAATTAATAAATCTATTGCCGAAACAACAATGGCAGAATGGATGACAAAACTGTTTGAAAATAAAGAAGTGATTTTAAGCAATCAACTGCCGAGTGATCTATCTCCAGTCTCTTGCAGGTTGAACCCCGGTGATTGGATTCTGATTAAAGTCCTCCAACGAAAAAATTGGAGTTCTCCACGGTGGGAGGGTCCCCATCAGGTGCTGCTTACTACACCAACAGCTTGCAAAATCGCTGAAAGACCTTCGTGGATCCATCAAAGTCACGTGAAGAAAGTGTTTGCACCACAATAAGACGCCGGTTCACCCGACTCTCAAGTGATCCCCTGGTGAAGGAAAGGGCTGATTGGGTATACCCCGCCCTTTACCTTCTCGCCAGTGGTCTCCTCACTTGGAGCCCGGGTGTGCCTGGTCGCCCTGAAGAACAAACACATAATAATGAGTGACCCATCCCACCAAAGAGAGGAACCAATGACAACACCGGGGACGCCTGGAATGCAGAGAGCCAGCATGATGAATCTAGGAGAAGAAGAGCCACCAGCCCCAGCCCCAAAGCTGTTATGCTTAAGTGCTTGTCACTTTCAACGGAAACGGTTCATGTGCCGCCTGATCTGTCTGGTGGCCGGTGTCATCTTAGGGGTGATGCTCTTCTGGCTGATACCTGGAAGAGCCCACAGAATAACACCAACTATTCCCCGTCTCAAGAGGTGGACCCATGACAATTCCCATCTAACTGAGATGACCCAAGATCACATTCACCCGTGGATGAACAATGCCTGGTACCGATACCTATACAACACCATAGAAGAAAAAGAATGTTATGTCTGTTCTCACATGCCTTCAACTTCAGTCTACCCCACCATATATGGTCGCATAATGGACAGTCACTGGCAAAGTGAATGTGCAGCAAGTTTTGCCAGCATTGGAAGACAACACTTTGCAATCGGCATGAAAGCTTCACTCCCAGGTGCAAAAGGCCTGAAGAAGGATGGAACCTGTGACGACAAATTCTGGGTAGATATGACAGTAAAAAACAGAAATGCTTCTGTCCCTTTCCCTGTTTTTATGACCCATACAGAGAAGTGGCATCCTCTGTGCTTCTACCAAGCGCCAGGGCAAGGACGCCACCCCCTGGGCCATACCAGCAACTGCAACGCAACCTATGGAGGAGTAGGGTATGGGACAGTCAACCTAAATCAACAGGTAAATGGCACCTATTGGGTACAAGGTATGGCATGGCTGTGCGGACAGCGTGCGTACTTTATGCTGCCACCCAGCTGGTCAGGATGCTGTGCACCTATCTTCATTTCAGATCACACTTTTAAGATAACTGTGCACAACAAGACCAGAGTTAGGCGTGATGTAGAAATCAAGCCTCATGATTCATCCTTGGAACAGACGTGCCAGAGAACTTCAAACTCTGGAACACCGGCGAGAAGGTAATCCACGCTCTGTTTCCTTGGACAGGAGTAGGAAAGCACGCACTACGAATAGAGACTTTAGACTATCGCTTTGGACTGCTTTTGAACGCTTCCACCCACATTGACAAATCACAGAATGAAGAAATTGATGCAATCCGCATCACTGTCATGCAACACCGAGTAGCTTTGGACATTGTTCTTGCAGAGAAAGGAGGTCTCTGCATACTGTTTAACAAGACATGTTGTACTTACATACCTGACAACATACACTCATTAAACATGACAAATGCTTTGAATGTTCTGAAACAACTAAGAGACGCTCAGCAACAGGACTACGTAACCAATGAGCAAGGCTGGTGGGACTGGTTGCTGAGCGGCTCCTGGAAATCTTTGCTGATTAAAGGCCTGTTGGCCCTATGTACTATGATGTTTCTATTTTGCATTTTTGCTGCTTGCATTATTCCTTGTTTGAGACGCATGGTGATGAGTATGTTCAACCGTACTTTAGGAAATTTTGTCTTGATCCAGAGGGATATGGAGGATCCCTATCGCAAGTATGATATGCTAAATAGAGAAAACAGAGAAGAGAATCTCTATTATAGTCTTAACAGAGCTGATGTTTAGATACTTCACTGAATGATATGCAAGTTGAAAATGTGATTTAACAAGTGACTATGCATTGATATAAACATGTGAAATATATTAACAACAGGAGGGAAATGTTAGGAGATTTTCTACATTATACATTATAACCAAATCTCTATAATACAATATAATCAAGTAGGCCTTATATTCTAACCAAGTATGCCTTATATTTAGTGTGTTCATATATTTTCACATAACCAAACCTATTGTTGAAGAATTACCTAATCAAGTCTATTGTTAAAGGAAAACTGATGCATTCCTTACCTAAGTGTCTGAGATGTTTGACAGCATGATATAATGATGCATTCTTTTCCTTTAGTGTCTGTGATGTCAGATAAAGCATGATATACTTCTGTATTTTTATCCCAGTGTGTGAAAGATCAGATAAGTTGATTTAATGTTTAACCTCTTCCCTGACAGTTAAAAAGAGGAAGTACTATGTAACCCATTTTTGCCTTATAAATAAAGCAAGCGAGCCTGTGCTCGGTGTGTGTGTCTTCTCAGAGAGACATTCACCCGTGCGCACGTTTTCTAATTACACTCTGAGTCGGTCTGCAGTTGTCTCATTTCTCTTACTTGTGTTTTGAACAAATGTCTAAACCCCTGACATGAACTAAACATTGTTATACAGTTACTTCCACTAAGCATTAAATTTCCTTCATATCTACTAAGACAATGCATGCTAATTTTTTTTCTTACTTTATTCTAACCCAGCAAATTATAACTGATGGTGTCACACCCATTAAGAAAAAAAGAATTTCTTTCAGTTGACCTTTTGAAAAAACACACATGTTAAAACTAAAATACATGCTCTCATTTTTTTTTAAACTTACCTTCCATTACCTTTTGTTTCCTCCCGTTCATGAAGAATCCTTTTTAATTGGTAAACACAAAGCAACATTTTGAGGTAATTACACAGAATGCCTCAGCAATAGTATCTGAATGCATGAATTTCACAAAAACAGTCATATTCTAAGAAAAAAATCATAACCTTTTCACTTCCTGATTTAATACAATGTAAGAAATGTGCACTATTGTGCCCCTCTGCCCTTAGCATACACACTCCATGATAATATTCTTTTGG